ACATTAATATGCAGTATAGTGCTGGGTATAAAATGTTATTTATTACATTTCTATACCACCCAATAGCAGAAGCTCTCTGAGTTAAAACCATAAATACAACTCAATGAAATATTATATAAACTTTTAAAAGCTTATTAAACCTAGCAGCATTCCAAAGATTTAGAACACAGAAACAGGTTAAAAACAACAGAAACTGAAAGAGTAAAATGCCTGGGAAAATAAGATCTTTACCAAACATCAAGACAACTACAACACAGGTGCCAGGTGAGCCTCCCTGGGGAGCTCATTCCACAATCAGTGTGTCACAAGAGAAAAGGGCCACTTTTCAGTAGCCAAGCACCTCGCTTCATTTGATGAAGGCCAAAGGCACCCAGAGGAGGGCTTCCGGGAGGGAGCTAAGGGTCTAAGCAGGGACAAATGGGAGGAGATGGTCCTTTTTAGATGACTTGGCCAAAGCCATCTATGTCTCTGAAAGTCAATAGTATTACTTTGAATTGGGCCCAGAAAAGGAATTGGAGCTAAAGTAGATGGAAAAGTACTGGCATAATATGATCTCATTGGCTACTTTCCATTAACAGTCTCACTACCCTATTTTTGACCAGGTGAAGTTTCCAGATGATTTTCAAAGACATCCCAATGTATAAAGCATTGCAGCAATCCAGCCAAGAGGTTACCAGAACCTGCATAATTGTAGCTGGACTCCTTGCAAGAAGGGCGAGTTCCAAATATAAATAGATAAATGATGACGATCCTGTAAAGCGTGACAGGACTAACCCCATATTATATACTGCAGTAGAGGGTATAATGCTAAGAGGGAATTATTTGCCTAAGGCCACCTAGGGAATTAATGGCAGAGTAGCTGAATGGTGGACTTTTCCAATACATAGTTCAATCTCTTAACTGCTATGCTACTCTAAAAATTTGGCATAATCAACCCTGTCTTGTGAACAAATACTGATATCCCACATTGCAATCTTTATCACAGTTATGACTTGCGTAAGAGTGAAGACAAACATAGGAAGTTGTTCTTTGAAAGTCTGACCAAGAATCTAGACGAAGCTGACAAAACACCTATTCAAAGCAGGATGAATAAAGTGTTTATTATACATGCCAACCAACTATTAAATGACTAAGGGATTAACATCTGTCAAACTGATAAGATGAAAATAAGAGCAGTCTTCCAGTGTCCTTAACTCCCTCAGCTTCTTCAATTAGAGGCTGACCCTGCTCTGAATTCATGTACTGAGGAAACGGAACACCATTCAACGCCAATCAACTCCTCCCTCTTAATTCCAGTTCCAAAACCAGCTTGAAATTAACAAAGGAAGTTTCTCAAGCAAGGAGGAGTGCTGACTGCCAGCCAACAAGGATATAATGCTATATGGAATTTGCACATTCTGCTAAAGAACAGACAGTACATTAATTACATCAGCATACTAAGCAGTAGAACACTGACAAGGTATATAGTCAAGAAGAGTATGCAAGAGCAAAATACTGGAGCCACTTATGCATCTAGCTAAACAATGACCTGGTTCACATGTCACAATGGCAAATCATGGGTTATTTAACCCAAAATTTGCAGGAACATGCAGCACCTGCAAGCTACTTTGAAACAATATCCAATCAGAAGTTATCAACTTGACCTGCAAACCCAGACCAACTGTTTGTATAGGAGATAAACAAAAGAGTTTAACCCATGGTTTGTTGTCAGGTTACTACTGGGTTGTGTAACTTCTAAACAACCTATCAATCAAGGTTTGCACATTCTGCTGTGATTGAAGGTTGTTTATAAAAAACTGAAGCACCTTGCTGACTGGGTATTCCCCAGCAAACTGCAATTTAATGACTTATTACTTAATTTGCCACCTGACATACAAACTGGCCCAACAGATGCAGGCAACAGGGCCTCCCTCTCCTCATCCACTCCCAAAAGGCACAGAGTTACATGGAAGTTTCCTGCATCCATTCTTGGGGCCAACTAAACTGCACATTCTGAACCTGCAGCTTACTATGCAGAGTGGTGGACATATCAACCCAGGCTGTTCACAACTGCTACACCAATTGAAGAACATGAGCTGAAAAAGTCCATATAAATGCTCTGTATAAAAGGTTTTCATACTCTATGTGGATGTGATCCTACCTACCTACCATTTTTAAGTGAGACTGAACCAGCTGAAATGCAGTGACTCTCCTGATACAGTTTGCAGACTGCTTTCCAGATAATGCTGTATAATCATAATATTTGCACTATCATCTGAACAAAGGAAAGAATTCTTCCACTCTACTCCAGGTTATGCTTATTCGTAATTTTAAAGTTATAGGTAAAACTGGCATTACACTTCCTCTAATGTTCATCCAGTTGTACTTTAAGGGCTTGGTCTTTGGGTGGGTGTACGAATGCATACTCCTAAGATGTGCTCCGAATCATCCTCAGGCTTGTCAGAGGACAAGTCACAACTGCTTTAGCAGAATACTTCCTAAATTCATTTTAAATTGATTTAACATGGACTGGGCAAGGGGAAAAAGAAAAGCAAGCCCATTCCTCTAGGGCAGAGATGGAACTTCCAGCCAATGGGGGTTGCTATCTAGCCTGCCAGCTTCCTCCACTGGACCCACTGCTTCTGTCACAGAGGGGGAAGCTCTCATCAGCAGCTGTTTAGCTTTTCCTGCTTAGTTATGAAAGGCCCCATTTGTCAGTGCTTAGCAGGTCCAGCATTTATACTGATCAGAGATGAGAGTGTTTCTATTCCGGGTAGAAAGAATGGGGCCAGGACCATAGGGGGAGCTGCTGAATGCTTCAGTTCCACTTCCTCCTGATGCTTGTCCTACTAGTAGAAATGCGTAACGTTGGTACCTCAGACACTTTTTGACGAGGCAGCTGCATGGCTCTTTCTAGCTTCCTTTGAGCAGACATGCAGAGGCTTATCCTACATGTTGCTTGTGCTTATTTCTGAGTACTTACTTTGTAACAATGGACTCGAGGGGGACCGGAGTCTCAGCTCCACTCACTTTTGTCTCCCATCAGTGGATCTCGGCCCCTAAGCGCTTCTCCAAAATGGAATACAACCCTAGGGCTGGAAAAGATTCTTTACCACTGCCCAAGGGGAAAAAACATGCTAGACAAATTTGACTTTCCAATGGAAGCTTGCAGCTTCAGCTTGTTCATGCCAAACTTCTGTCCTTCCTATTAGGCAGCAAGAGTGTAAGAGCAAACAAATACGATACAAAGCCACAATGTTGTATTTTTCCCCCTTTAATCCAACCAGCCACTTGGATTACATCACCGTAGAGGAAAATATGTTCAAGTAACAGGAGAGTATTCAAGAAGACCAACCCATTTTTGGACCAAAACCTAATAGCGTCATCACAAGTGAAGCAGTGAATAAAGACAACGAACTACAGCAGCTCCCAGCTGGCTTTTAAAAATGAGGATCATGAGAGACAGCAGTGCTCACCTGAATCCTATACTAACTTAACACCACCTAAATCTATCTTTAATACAAAGTAGTGACACAACATGGATGCCACAGTGAAATAGAAACCAAGTCTTGTGTTTTGGTCTATAGCTCATGTTATCTTTTTAATTCCCACAAGTAATCACGGGGAGCGGGAGGAGACCGAGGAAAGGCTTATGGCAGCAGGGTTAGGCAGCGATTCTTTCAGAGCTGATAGTGCTTGGAAATTTCCATAAACACAGGAGGTTATTGACATGGCAGGCCTTCCGCATGAGATACACTTAATGTTCGTGCTGTCTGGTAATAAACACACTCAATTTAACCTCATAATAAAATGATTTGGATCCGAAGTTCCAAAAGGGCAACATGACTCATATGGTGGTAGTAATACACCGTGCAGGGGGAAGAGGCAACTTTCGTCAGTGTCTCCACCCTGCTGCAGCTTCTTGCACTCTCTGAAATAACACAGGTGCTGAAGGCTGTAGGGGGAAGCAACAAATACGCCCTTCCCCTATTGCCACTGGGTTGCCCTTTCAGTAGACTGGTTTGTCTTAGGTGAACGGAAGGAGCCACTGGGTTGCCCTTTCAGTAGACTGGTTTGTCTTAGGTGAACGGAAGGAGCTTTTCTATTCATAAAGGGCAGCTCTAGATGCGGGGTAATACATTATCTATTCTGTCATATTACTACTATTTGACCAAGATAGGTATTTCTACGACAGGTTTAAAAAAAAAAAATGAAAAAGCAGAATTTAATTCACAGCATTTGACAGAGGGCCACTAAGTCAGTTTTAAGTGATCACAAATTAGACTTCCATAGGATTTTATTACATTTATTACCTTTATAGGTTTATTACATCTATGGAATGCACTCCCCAGAGAGGTCCATCTGGCGCCGTCATTATTTGTTTTTCGGCGCCAGGCCAAGACCTTTTTATTTAAAAGTAATTTTAATTGTTAATTTGACTATTTATTGGGTTTTATATTGTGCCGAGATGTCTCCAAACTTTTAAGGTTAATTGTGTGTATTGTGTCTGTTTTGTAAGCCGCCCCGAGGCTCTTTGCAAATGGGGCGGCATAGAAATGATTTAAATAAATAAATAATAAATAAAATTTAAATTTAGACTAAATAGAATAACTCTAACATAATAAATCATGAATTTCAATTGTTAGACATAAAATTGTTCCTATTTTCAGACTTTGGTAGTGAGAAGCATTTATTAGATTATGTGTAATGAGAACCAGGCGCTATAATTCAAGGCTGAATAAGAAGCACAATTGATATGGTTACTCTCCCAAATTACAACAACACTGGTGAGGCTAACAAGTCATGAGAAGCCATACTGGTTTTGTATCCTTGTTGGCCTGTCATGTTGTCCAGACCCAGCTGTGGTATTTAAGTGCAGTACATTGGGTTTCTGGAAACTACAGGAAGAAACAACAATTTTCGAATGGTTTCTACACTTCACCATGGCTGCTGGTGTCATCCAGACCCAGGAGCTCCATTTTTCCATTTGTGGTGAAAAAACATAAAGAGCAGCAACTCACTTTGTTCCCATTGTCTGAGCATGGTGCCCATCATCTTTCTGCAACAGGGAGAAGGCTAGTAAATGCACAGGGGAAGATGAGAGAATCACAAAAGAATCACGTTATAAAAAAGGCTTTGAGAGCTGGATTGGCTAAAAAGTGTTAGAGGTGGAGGTACAATCAGGGAGCAAAAGAAGGAGAACCTGGCTCAAAACCTCAGCGGACCAGTCAAGAAGAGGCAGCTGAGACTGACAGGGGAACATCAGAGTAAAAAATAGGATTTTGCTTGTGGAGGCTGCTGGGGTGCATAGTAAGGGTGGGGGGATGGAGGGGACAGACCATCTGACTGGTAGGCTGAGACATATCTGATCATGTCTTAACAAAATATCTCATAGGCAAAGTAAAAGCTAGTATTACTTGTTACATATCACAGGAACTCTTTTTGGTGACTGCAAATGCATCAACATTTACAGAGCCCACTCAAAAATGTCAAGCGCCTTCTCATCCACTTGCAGCACCCACCACAACAACACCCATACACACTTTGTTAGAAATTGCATCCTTATACATTTCAGCCACTAGATGAAGAGATTCATCACATCATGCTTTTAACTGGTACCTTTGCCACGAGTTTCTGAACTTTACAGACAAGCTCTCTCAAGACACCTGTTTATTTATTTATTATTTATTTAGGCGACTTCTATGCCGCCCCATTCGCCGAAAATTCAATAAAACAATATAAATTAACAATATAAATTAAGTCACCCTGGCCAAAGAATAAAATGAATAAATAATATTAACAATTAAAATAACATTTGAATAAAAAGGTCTTCACCTGGCGACTTACAAAGGTGTTTGTCCGCCTTTGAAAACTCTTTCAGAAACAACATAAAATTAGCAACATAGTCACTGAAAAATTACTCTAATACATTCTGTTCCTTTGATAAGATCAGCATTAAGAGACTTATGGCTATTTTCCATGAGAAAATACACATGCGTACATATAACACAGATAATGTCTTTAGCATTCACATTCATCTTTACCAATACCCTGTTCTTGACTCCTAACTAGATTCAAATATTACCAAAGCAGCACAGCCTGGAAATGGCAACATCGCCTCAGACATTATGATGTCATAAAAGAGAATTATGGCATTTGCAGATTAAGATTCCTCCCTCCCCCTTCTTTGTAATTACCAGCAGTAAATAAGATAAGTATGACAAATATAAGATAAATAAGAATGAGGGCAACAAAAAGGGTGGAGGAAGAGAGGAGAGAAAGGACAGCAACAAAAGGACTTGATTTAACAAGGTGCTGTTACTGCACACACATACACACATGGAGAAGTCTCAAGAGCTTCTTGTAGGAAAGGTGCACCAATCTCTTGATAATAGCAGTTGTTCTTTCTACACCTTTTTTCAGGTGTGTGCTATGTGTTTTGAGACCAGGGAGCCATGCAAAGCAATGTCAAGGCACGTCATGCCAACTTTCAACAGAAAGACATTGTGCAAATGTCAGCAATCCTCCAGGTGAGGATATAAGTAACCATAGGATAAACATCAGAGCTATTAGACAGTGAACAATACTACAACAAAACATAAAGATTGTTTTCTAGGCAAACACTGATGGCTTCTCTTACTCTTTAACAAAAAACAAACAAAAAAAAAAACTATTATCACTTAGCCTCAGGACCAAAATCATGTTCTACATAAGGATTCTATAAGATCTCCTTTGAGAGGCAATTTGATAAATGATTTTAACGTGCCACATATGCATGGAAAGAACAAACAGTGCACATTATCAGCCTGGAAGATGAATGCACAAAAGACACTTTGGGGATTTAGGATAAATCTCTTTTAACTCATTCTGAGCAGATGTGTCAAGGACTACACTGTCAAATCTTCTTTCAAATATGTGCCATTAGCTATGGATCTGTATGCACTGACAGAAGATTATACTCCAATCTTTTCGTGCAAGTAAACCTCATCCAGATGGTAACCCAAAAAAGAAACAATGAGATAAGGCCCAGCTGCCAAATAACTAGCACAGAGCACACCAATACTTTTGAACATGGCCATCATGGAATTGATTTTAATCTAATATTGGTATGAAGGAGAATGTTATCCATTTGCAAAATAAGAGAATTGCAACCCAAGTACATCATTAACACAGAACTTGAGCTTTACATTCCAGTTTCTCTAGCATACAGACTATCACCCATGTTAAAATTAGTCCGTTTACTTGGCATATATGTAGAGAGGAGGGTACGTGTGAAGATGGTCAATACCAATGCCAAGTGATTTAAGGACTTTTAGGTATGATCCTGTACTACTTATATATTCCTTGCCAAAGAACAAGACTGGATTGCTTAGGCACACAGAACACTGGCTCACAATTTTATTACCCATTTGTAAAAGGTTGACTTTTTTAAAAAGGCCAGTCAGATGTTCATTTTTCTCATTTCAGGCAAGTTCTGAAAAGAAGGGGAGCCTTGTAGTGGCTTAAGGAACCAGTTTCAAGCAACCCAATACAGGAAAAAAATGCTTTGCTTCACTCCCCAAAGAGGTCCGCCTGGCACCGTCGTTACTGGTTTTTCGGCGCCAGGTAAAGTCCTTTTTATTTAAACATCATCTGGCCAGGACAACTTCTTCTTCCTTCTCTTTTCTCCTCCTATATTCTTTATTTACTTATTTTATACTGTTAATTTTAATTTTATATTATTGTATCTCAGTGTATTTTTTTGTATTTTTGTATTTAAGTGGTAATTTATTATGTTCTATTGTATTTGAATGTATCTTATTGTGTTGTAAGCCGCCCCGAGGCTTCAGCAAGGGGCGGCATAGAAATGTTATAATAATAATAATATCTAAAAATGGTACATTACTACTTAAGCAACTCTAAATGGGTCTAAGTTGGGGAAGCACCAACGCAGCAACAGCACCCTGCAAACAGCCCTGCAACCTCACACCAGCCAGGGAGGAAATAGGGATAGAGTTTATTTCCCCCCTTTAGAGTGAGGCTTTTTAAGTTTTCCCTCCAGCTGGGAATTCTCTATATCAAACTCTAGGTTGCTGTAAGAGAGGAGCCCAAATCAAACCTCTCTTTGAGTAAGGGAGTCATTTTGGATCCAGTAGATCCAAAGCATGCTCTGACCTGCCCAAGGGACCGTCCTGTTGGTAGACTTTTTGCTGGCATGTGCTTTCCACCTGCTTCTGTGTAGCAGCATGCTTTACTGTAGCAAAGACCCTTACCCAGCCAACTTTAATTCCCAGCTGGAAGCCATGGGCACCTGTCTCCATTACATTTTAAGGTAACTGATGGCTGCAGAAGCTTAGGCTGCAATTCTGTATACACTTTCATAATAGTAAGCATGTTGCATGCAGTGGGTTTTTCTTCAAACATACCATGCACAGAATTATGCAGTTAAGCAAAAAATAGTAAAACCTTCCCAAATACAAAAAGAATTATTGGTGCCAGAGCAGGTAAGACTGATAAATGTTAAAAAAAGAACCTCTAGTACCAGACATGGATTAAAAGAAGCAAGTTTCAAACGAGAAAGGTAACTAGTGGGATGCCACATGGTTCAGTTTTAGGCCCTCTGCTCTTCAACATCTTTATCAATGATTTAGATAAGTAAGTACAAGGAGCAGTAATCATATTTGCAGATGATACAAAATGGGGTGGAATACCAAATACCCTCGAAGACAGAATGAAGATTGAGGATGATCTTGATAAGCTTGAACACTGGGCTGAAAGCAACAGAATGAGATTCAGTAGGGACAAATGTCAAGCCTTCCACCTAGGAAAAAGGAACCAAATGCATTGATACAAGATGGGGAACACATGGCTCAACAGAACTGAAAAAGACCTCAGAGTTGTTGAGGACAACAGGCTAAATACGAGCTAACAACGTGATGCAGCTTCAAAAATGGCAACACTATTTTAAGATGCAGTAATAGAAGCATTACTTCCAAATCACAAGAATAATAGCCCTATACTCTTTACTAGTCAGACCTCACCTGGAATACAGTGTCCAGTTCAGGGCACCAAGATTTTGAAAAGATGCAGAAAAATTAGAAAGGGTCCAGAGGAGGGCAACAAAAATGATCCAGCATTTGGAAACACTGCCCTATGAGGAGAGACTGTGAGAACTGGGAATGTTCAGCCTTGAGAAGAGAAGACTGAGGGGGGACATGATATCATTTTATAAGTACCCGAAAGGCTGTCACAGAGATGAAGAACAAGATCTCTTCTCACTCATACCAAAGAGTAGGACACAAAATAATCAAGTCAAGCTGTGACAAACCAGATCAAGGCTAGATATCAGGAGTAATTTCCTAACTGTCAGAGCATTATGACAGTAGAACCAGTTGCCTAGAGAGGTTGTGGGCTCTCCCACCCTAGAGACATTCAAATAGAAACTGGACAATCATCTGAGTGAGATAGAGTAAATTTGTGTCCTGCAACAGCAGGGGGTTGAACCCGATGGCCTTCTTCCAACTCTACTATTCTATGATTTTAAGTTATCTCTGTAATCAACTGTAATACACCCCATATAGGATAGACCTTGAGGAGTGTTCAGGAATTCCATCCAATACAGAGTACAGCTGGATGACATAAAATATAAAAGGGACATCATTTTGTTGTGAACCGCCCAGAGAGCTTGACCTATTGAGCAGTACAGAAATATAATAATTACTAGTACTAATAATACACTAGACTCTCAGTTAACCGACACCCATGGGTATTGGTAGATGCTGGATAAATGTAGTTCCTGGTTGCTTGAGAGTTACCATTAAAAATAGACCTAATACTATACTCCATACCATACCATTGACTCTGTATTGACTTGATATTAATATTGAAATACAGTAATTAAAAGCAAATAAAAAGACAAACTCCCACCTTCTGAAACAGAGTCTTAATGTCATAGATCATTGACAAACCAACATTAAATTCCTTCATGAGCACTGCAGGACTCTCACCATTCTCAAGTCTCTTGCATATTTCCATCTTCTGCTTGAGGGTAAGCACTGTGCTTTGACCCTTACTAGGGACCTGTTTTGGCATACTTGGGGCTGAGAACACAAAATTTGAATTACAATAGATCCCAACAACCAGTATGTTTACACATGGTGAACTGGGAGAAGTGGGAGAAATAGGAGACAAACATGTGGGCTTACTCATAGCACTTAATTTCCACTGGAAATTGATTTTTATTGTAATTTTTATTTAAAGTATTATTTCTTTGATTTTTTTGCCAGTAGCTAGAGAGTGCTGGTTGCTTGAGTTAACCGAGAGTCTGCTGTAATTGGTAGAGCATTTGCTTCGCAGACAGATTGCCCCAGGTTCAATCTCTGACATCTTTTGGTAGAACTGGTTAAAACTCATGTCTAAAGCCCTTGATGCCCCTGCCAAAAAGTTTACAAAATACTGAATGCATTGGGCCAACTTTGTATAAGGCTGTTCTTTATGTTCTTAACTTGTACTGTATAGATTATGTGTTCATGTCTGGCTTCAGTTCAGAAGAACTGTGTGCAAAATGATATTATCGAGTTTGGCTAGAAGTGGATAGTCCCATATTCAGCGTCCTAAGCTCCTTAGAGAAAGAATGCATACAAATACATTTATATCCATAGACAAAAAAGAATCTGAAATAGGGGGATTGATACATTATTGCAGGAAAGGCAACAAGAATGTCCCTGCAACGTCAGCTATGCCATCAGTTTCAAACTGCACAAAAGGCGGTCCTTCCCCAAGCCTTCTTTTTGTCCAAGAAGAGCAAAATTATTAAGACTGTGCCAAGGTTAACACTTCTATATGCCATTTTCTGTCCTAAGGAAACTACATGATCTTCATATTTAGCATCATAAGCAGCATACAGGAATACTATACCCAGAAAGCCTCCTAAATAAATTTGCAGTATTTAGTAACAAAATGATGCAGAGATATTAGGCTCATCTGCCAACCAAGAAAAACACATAAGCTGCCACTGCCCAGAGTTTCTTTGCAATTGCCTGTATTGTGGAAAACAAGCTTTTCCTACCCTAAAATTTATTTACAGCAGCCTGAAACAGAACTGTCAAATGTCCTTCGCCAACACACCCAGG